ATAAGTAAAAATATTAAAAGTTATTTTTATCCTTCAATTTTATTCAAAAGGCCACTAAGAATTTTAAATTTAACTATAGGTTAATTTTTTTCTCAATTTTATAGATTCTCTTTCTCATTATCTTGTGTTTTCTCATTGTTAATTAATCATCAATGGACTCTGCATTATATTTTTCAATACAAAATATTTAAGTTGAGGTTGTCTACTAACTTCTCAAATAAAAGTTGAAGGGCAAAATGACTCTTGATTTAATAAAAAATATTTTAAAAATAGTAAGATTCATTGATGACTAACAAATCTTAAGTGTTTTTAATATCAGGATAACAAATAAGGAAATATTTAATGTTAAAAGACATAATTAATCTATAATTAAATTTAAAATTTTTAAATGAGTTTTCGAGTAAAGTTAAAAAATAAAAATAATCTTTAATATTTGAAAAAATAAGTTAGATGCTATGAGGACAACAGTTAAAGCTTTTTTTTTTCTTTTTTTCTTTTTTGCTGGTTCTGTTCGTCACGTGATGCTGTTCAAAATAAATCTGGTTATATTGGTTTTTCCCATGGTAAGCATATGAAAATATCTAAAATTCAATGTCAACATCGAATTTGACAATTTTGTAGTCATCAGTCCTTGTATGGTATAAAGAGTTTTTTTTTTTTTTTTAGACGGGCAGTACAAATGCACCCACGCCGCACCGAATAATGGTAAGGAAATTAGGTTGGGTGGGAATGTCGATGGCTTCAGGTGTGGGCAAAAATCTCATCAGAAGGAAATCTCATCAGAAGGAAATCTCATTTAACATAAAAATATAAATGGCATACAATTAAGAGAAAAATATAATTTTTAATTTTTATAGTTTTATCAAATTTTATTTATAGTCTTTATAATTTTTTTAATATTTTCAATCCTATAGGAACTAAAATCACTAAAAAAATGAAAATTATAGGGATTTAAAAAACAAAAATTACTCAACCTTTTTAAAATTACGAGGACTGAAGATATTAAAAAAATTATAAAAATTTAAAAATAAAACTCAATAAAATTATAAAAGTTAAAGATTATATTTTTCGTGCAATTAAAGGTGTAACTTTAGCTTCCTCGCTAATTTAGGTGAGTTGGTGAACGCTATAGCTTGGAAACACGCATTATCTTTATCACTTTCGCTTTAATTTATATCTCTAATGCCGTGGGGTAGTTAGTAAATCCAAGCTTCCCACCAAACAAGTCCTAATCCTGATCCCATTTGATTTGTATTGCATTATTGCCTTCGGCCATGCTTTTTTAATTTATACTGTTTATAAATACAAACCACTCTAGCTAGTTTAATTCCAATGGTTGATTATATAACCATTATCACTGTCATCATTACTATTGCGGGTCCCCTGCTCTTGAGATAATCAAACACCATGAAGTTCTATAACAAGTTAAACGTCTACACTTTAACCTTTCCTTCAACTGAAAGTTTTATCATCAAAAGACAAGCATGTCATTTTGTTTGACATCAGATAAACACGCCAATAACGTAATAATGCATATAATTTATTTCACATTTTCCGTTTCTGTTATTTTTGGGCCAAATGTTTCTACACCAAAGGTAAACTAATAAATCACCAATCTATCATATTGGTATATTATATATATATATATATATATCTAAAAGTAGAACCATAATCAATATCTCATGATGACATATGTCTCTAATTGTATTTTGCTTGATTTATGTTTTAATTTCTAATTTTTAAAGATATATAAACCTGCCTTATTCTTAAATGTCTCCTCATTATCTCAACTTCTTAAAAGAGTATAACTATAAATAACATTTAACGAAGACGTCTAACTTTGTCTTACTTTATTTATTTGTTATTCTAAAATTTTAAAATAGGTGAAGCTATCGTATTTCCAAATATTTTTTCATTATTTCAACTTCTAATCTGCATATTCATAATTTCTAACAAGTCTTTTATATAGATAGTCTATATTATAATATCAAATAAAAGAAATAACCTATCCTATCTTAAATTTTAAAAATGACTTTTTTAATCTTTAGATTATAATTAACTTACAAAAATGTCTTTTTTAATAGCTGCTTTTTTCAAATATTAGGAGATTCAAAATGCAAGAAATATCTAAAACGAGAGAGACAGATGCGAGAGAAAAGATGAAACTCAATGTGAAAAAGACGAATGCAAAATAGCAGAGCAGTGTGAGTGAGCCATAATTACTATGTCGAGAGACAAATGCAATATGAGATACATTAATAGTACTTGACAAAAAGGAGCACAGCAGCGGGGAAACTAAGCTACAGATTCATATTTTTTATTTTATAAGTTTAGGTATTTGATTTTTTGTGATAAGCTAAGAGTCTAAAAATTTTGTGGACTGTGTTTGATTTGCTTTAGGCAAATGATTATGTATTTTTTGTGTGACTTATCTATGATATTACCTCATTGATATACGACTGTATATCAATTATAAACAAGTTTGATTGTCTGGTTATATTAATCTGCATGATATATTATTGTATATCATTGATATATAAGCTATATTAATAAAAACTTATCAATTTGTTTATTATTAATATATCAATGATATAGTAATGAAATTTTCTCTTTAATGTCTAATGTTATTTTCATGATAGTTCGGAAAAATAGAGAAAGAGAGAGGAAAAACTTTGTGATAAAGATGGTAATCAAAGCAAGTCAGATAAAAAATTCTAACAAAGAAAAAAGCAATGTGCGAGAAATAAATATGATGATTCAAGAAAATTAAATTAAAAATTTGATGGAAAAAATTTAGAAATGATATATCAGAGAAAGAGCATGCACAATACGCCTTTTGATGATTAAGTGAAAGATCCAGTCAATTAAAGATTAGTTAAATTAGATATATTTTATTTCAATAATAAATTTATTCTAAGAAGAAGAAAGAAAAAACACATCTAGTTAATTTTATAAGTAGGTCATATTTTAAAATATTTAAAAATGTCATCAATAATTTATGAGATTTTTATTTTTTGAGACCCTTGAGCTAATTTTCTCATTTCTAATTTCCAATTTCAAATAATAAATAAAATTTAAAATTAATGAAAAATTAATTAATAGATTCTTTTGCTCCTACTTCTCTAATGTATCATAAGAAGTGAAGTCAATGTTAAAAGTAAAGTAAAAACTTAATATAAAACATATAAAAATAGTTGAATGCATTTAAATTAGAAAAATTCAAGATTTTTAAATTAATTTTTTGGCAATTGTGATATTTTGTTTCCTATATTCATTCCTCTTTCATCTAGATCAAGTTCTTTTAAAATCAATAAAATAGGCCAAAATACATTAAACTTCTCTAAATTTTAAAACAGTTGTATATAATCTCTCACATTTAAAAATTTAAAATTAACTTCATAATCTTTAATTTTATTGTTCAAAACCTCTTATTATTAATTATATTTATTTTTTTACGAGGGTTAAAATATTATTGAACACAAATATTACACATAACTATTTGTAAGATATATTTTTTGAATATTTGAGATATTGATAACAAAAAAAAAAATATTATTATCATCATATAAAATTTTAAATGTTTATGTTTATATTAGTTTTATCCACATTTTTTTGTTATCAATGGTGCATGATTTTATTATTTTAAAAGATAAATTTTTATTTATATTTTCACGTTAGATTAATGTAATGCTCATGGCTAAAATGTTTAAAATTTTAAAAATTACTAGGCTAGATTAATTTATCTTTTAATTCAAGAGAATTATGCACCATTGATAATAAAAAAAGATAAAACTAATACAAATGTAAATATTTAAAACTTTATATGATGATAACAACATTTGCTTTGGCTATTATCAATTCATCAACTATTCAAGAAATATAAAAAATTATTTAGCATAATTTTATAATATAATATCTTATTTAATAATTTTTTATTAGATGACATTTTAACTCTTATAAAAAAATAATATGATTAACAGTATGGGATTTTAAAAAAAATAAATAAACTTTTAAATATATGAAGAGTCATATGTAAATATTTCAAAATTTAAAAGAGTTTTATGCATTTTAGTCAATAAAATATAATAATCATTTACAAAATTTAGTGAAAAACGAATCGATCAAAAATTAATTTAAACCATTTTCATTTTTTTAAATTAATAAAATACTAATTATTGATTTATTATTTTCAAACTTATTTTAAAGATTACTTTAAATTTAATTGATTTTAATTGTATCATAATTACAATCACAAAATGTATACTTAAAAATATCATGTGCATCACAAATTATTTTATTTAAAAATTAATTATAAATATTATTGTAATATTTACAAATTTAAATTTGGAATTAGTTTGTACAATGTAAATATCAATAACTAGCACTTAAAAATTATTTTCACCAAATAATATCTTATAGTGTCAATAATTATTAATTATTATTATTTATTTTAATTTTTTTCACATTGCGTGCATTGCACAGCCCACATACTAATTACAATGAAATATAAATTTCACACACACACACGCACATTTGCGAACAACATGAAATTCATGTCGAGTCATATTATTTATGAGCTACAAATGACGCAACTCAAGTGTCTTTATTTTTTTTTCCCATCACCTTTGCATTTTGTGACAAACCCTTTAATATTTACAATCATCATTACGTAATATAAAATTTACATGCATATCATACACCTATTTACCTTAAAAAACGTATTTTGTTTTTTTTTTTCAAAATATATTTTCCTCTAGGCTCAAGGCATTCCCGCAGGGGTACAAGATATGTAAAACAATTTCTCACCTCTCTTTTTTGACCTTGGTTTCTCATCTTCTTTGGCCAACCCTGGGTTTCTCATCTGATGGATTCATAAGATACGCATGTGTTTCATTTTGATCATCTTTACTTGATCGGTCAGGTTCAGAAGAATCATATGTTATAACAAGATTCCGTGCGGAAGGGAACGGTGAAGGGTGGACGAAGAACGCAGCTGGCTGATGTCTCCTTTGGGTGACGACGAATTAGGTTCGGTCCTGAAATGGCTCTGCGACGGAAACGACAGGAAGTCCTTCGCCCAAGTCTGCAAGCACTGGCTGCGTCTGGAAGGCCTGACCCGTTCCTTCATACGGATCCTTGAACCTGACTCACTGCCAACCATCTTGCCCAGATTCCCAAATATTCGCAAATTCGAATCTCCAAAATTAGTCACCGACCATCACCTTCAAATTTTAGCCCAATTTTGCCCCAAACTCGAGGTCATTAATCTCAATTTCAGACCAAAGCAAGGAATTCCCGGTTATTCGGACGAATCATCGTGTTTCGAGGACATCGGAGACGACGGTGTGGGCGCCTTGGCAGCCGGGTGTAGCAGGTTGTCTGAAGTTTCGCTCAGGAGAAGAAGGAACATTGGGAACGATGGAGTTATTTCAATTTGTAGTTCAGCGAAGCATCTGAGGCATTTGGACTTGGGTGGGTGTAATTTGATTACAGACGAAGCCCTTGAAGCAATTTCTGGGGTGATTTGTATTGCTGGTCTGAGTTTGGAAGGCTGTTGCTTGATCACGGATCGCGGGTTGTCATATTTAGCGTCGGGATCTTCTTCCAAGTCCTTGAAAATGCTTATCTTGACAGAATGCGATCGAATCACGGACTCCGGCGTGCGTCTTCTGCAGAAAATTCATCATCTGGAGGAGCTAAATTTAGCAGAATGTGGGCCTAAGGTGACGGACACAGGATGCTCGGCAATAGCGGAAATTCAAACTCTAAGGAAGTTGAATTTGTCGTGGATGGTTAATGTATCAGATGCAACAGTGATTGCACTTGCAGAGCACAGCAAGAACTTGGTGGCAGTTGATTTCACAGGATGTGAATTGATAACTGAAGCTGGCATTCGCGCTTTTGCGAACCATAGGAGTTTGGAAGGTCTAGTGTTGGCTTCTTGCTACAATATATGCGCAGATGACCTAGAATACACGGCTAGGTGCAAGTCATTGAGACGTATTGTGCTTGATAGAGGACTGAGAATGTGGATACCAACCACCACGCAAGACAATATTAGTAGATTCTGCGAGTTGCATTGGAGATGAATTCTCAAAGGGTGTCGAAAAATGATCAATGCCTGTTTGATTTTCAATGCCGGGGACTGATTTGTATCATCGTTCTGCTAGAGGAGGCAGATCAGGATAAGATACTCTGCGTTCTTGTTTCTTGCTGCTAGATTTCATTCCTTTCTTTCCGGCTAATATGTGCATTATGAGTTGTTCTACGTCTTCACTGCGCTGCTGATCACAGAAATGGACATGCTGGGTCACGGATGTATGAAGTCTGCTCCACTAGATATTGGTGTGGCTTCATGTGCATCTGACACCTGTTATGAAAAGCTGTATCAGGGTAACAGCGCAATATGCTAGATGGAAGACGCGAGTTGGATGATTAGAGACTTGTTAGAGGCCTTAATGCGATGCCACACTTCATTCGGTCAATATTTGACTTCGGCAGCTAATGGTTGAACTGATTTGATTTTTTTAACGGTGGACGCATTTCCTGAGCAGGGACATTCCAAGTTCAGGTTCTAAATTATGTCCACTTTTCCCAAATGGTGGAGCTAGAAAACTAGTTTAGAGATTAAAAAAAATAATTCGGTTATTCGTAAAAATAATCTTTTTAATCATTTACATTGGAAACTTCTTCTACGGATAGAAATCCTCTTTTAATCCGTGCAATTAATAAGAATACTGTAAAAAATTATAAATTTAGAAGGCAAAATAGATTAGAATTTTATATTTAGGACCACAATAAACTCTTCAATTAGCTTTAACATTAATGATTGAAATGAGTAATAAAAAAGATAGCTATTATCTAAAGTCTATGAATTCTGACCATTTATTTCTTTAAGAAAAAAGCATTGCAGCAATTGAACTTCTCGTTAAACAATTATTTTCTTGGACAATTTTTTCGTGATAGATCCTTGTCTTGGATCGCATCGTTCAAAATTTTATGCACTGATGTTTTGTTGTCTTAAATCTTATTAGGACGGGTTATACTTATTTGTTGAGTCTTTGTTTTTGTTTTTGTCGTGTGTAATTTTGTTTTCTAATAATATAAAATGTTTTTTTGGCCCAAAAAAAAATCAAGCCATCATCAAAGATTATCCCGGAGTTTTCAAATACAAGTTCAAAGTCTTGTGACCTTATTATTATTATTATTATTTTCATTGCTCGTAACTTACACCTAATTTAGTGGAGTTTTCCTTTAATTTAAAAGAGAAAACTACAAAAAGACACATTACTCCATTAGGAGGCGATCCAAGCCCAAATGGCATAATAAAGCCTGCAGGCAGCAAGCCCACCAACCCAATGGTCCTGTCTTAGCTCCGCCACCTTCTGATCATTATCGCATCATATCACAATACCTAACATCCTAACCTGAATCAAACCGTTTTGACTATATTCCGCCCTAAACTATTCCATCAGGATCGCCTATTTAAAACCTGTATAGGAGGCCCCGCTGGACTTCCCTGAGGATCAAGACTGAAGCACCAACCGAGGCTTGGGTTGAGCAAAATTATTAGGGCTGTTTGATTTTTATTCTCATTTATTATTTTTAATTTTTTTTGATGATATAGTTTTTAAAATTATTTTTTAAAACAAAATGAAATGAAAATTTGTCTGATTATATCAATTAAAAAATAATTTTAAAATTAAAAAAATATATTGATAATGATAATTATAAGCAATTAATGGTGATGATTAATAATAAAAATTGATCAAAGCAATTATAATTTTCAACAATCAAATATACTATATTATAAAAAATAAATGAAATAAAATAAAAATAACTTAAAGTTATTCCTATTTTTTGTTTTTAAAAACAAAAAATGAAATTTTTTTTAAAAATAATTAAATAAAAAATACTTACGCAAACAAGTTTTGATTTTTTCAAAAACAAAAGAAAATGATTAGAACCTGTTTGGTCTTTATTTTTGTTTTTTATTTTTAAAAACTGTTTTGTAATACATTCCCTACGTTAAAAAATATAAGATATTTTTAATCAAATTTATCCCCAATAAAATTCTTACCTACTTTCAAATTAGTACTATTTTTTCATATTTACTCCCATTAACTACCTTATAATAAAATATAAAGTCACTATCAATAGGAGCATTTTTGAAAAAAAAAGCAATGATTATACTTCGAAAGATTAAAAATGTCTTACATTTTTAAACATCCACCTTCTCAAAAAATGCCTTACATTTTAAACGGGGGGAGTAGTTTTTAAAATTATTTAAAAAAAATAAAATGAAAATTCATTTAGTTATGTCAATAAAAAACAGTTTTAAAATTAAAAAATAGACTAATAGTCATAATTATAAATAGTTAATGGTGATGACTAATAATAAAAATTAGTTAAAATAATTATAATTTTTAATAATCAAATGTAGTATATTTTAATAATAAGGAAAAAAAATGAAAACAGCCTAAAGTTGTTTCTATTTTTTGTTTTTAAAACAAAAGATAAAAATAGTTTTAAAAACAACTAAATGAAAAATATTTATCCAAACAATTTTTTAAATTTTTTAATTTTAAAAACAAAAAACAGCTTTTAAAGATAAAAACAAACAAGCCTTTAATCTCTTACACTCTGATTTTTTTTTTTGGTATTTTTTTAACTAACACTTCCTGATAGAAAAAGAAATACACATGCAACCTTCATCTACTCATGACACAACACATGATGCCTCTAATTAATCAATACACACCCATCTAACCTAAACCCCAAACCCATTTGAAATTTTAAATTGATAGAATTCACAATATAACATCCCAATTTAAATTTTAATAGTTAATTTAGGTTAATAAAATTTAAAAAAAATAATATTTAGAGGTAAGAAAATTAGTAGAAAATAATTATTAAATCTAATTTAGGATATAATTCTAAATTTAAAAAAAATTATTATTAAAAAAAATTAATAAAAAAAATTATTATTATAATAAAAAAAAGGGGGAGAGAGAAGAAGAAATAAAAAAAATGTGTGGGACCCACTGAATTTTTATAAAAACTCACCTTCCTTCATTTCCTCATTCATTCCTGCGCGCGAGCTGAGGCGGAGAGAACGCGAGTCACCGGTGCGAAATATCTAAATTTTTAAGGTAAGAGTTTTTAATAGGATATTTAGGGTGTGATTTTAAGCTTTTCAAGACTAAGTAAGTGTTCTAAAAATTTTTCTTAGTCATCCTTCTTATTTAGTTTCTGAGTTTCTAGTGATAGAAAATTTAAGATCTGGAAGAGGGATGAATTTATGTTAAATAAATATATTTTTGAGGTTGTCAGTAGTATAATAAATGTTCTAGAGTATAAATTTATTGATGATCTTTGAATCTGTGGCTTATGGATCAAATTTTAAACTAGATCTGAAAATATATGTTGATTTATTGAGGTTTAGATGATTATTTGGGATGAGAAATGAATTATTATGGTTATAGGATTATGATTCTAAGCTAGAGACTTAATTTTTAATTTTTGGGTATTTTAGGTACGAATTTATGAAATAAAAAGAAAATTTTGATAATAAAAATTAGTTTAAAAGTTGATTTTTAGATTATTAATGTTTATTGATAATAAACATTAATGTTTATTAATGTTTATTAAATCTAATTTAGGATATAATTCTAAATTAAAAAAAATTATTAAAAAAATTAATTAAAAAAATTATTATTAAATTATTATTATAATAATAAAAAAAATTTGGTGTAAAATTTGTAACACACCAAAATTTTTTTTTTTAAATGATTTAACTCAACCATAGTTGGATTACAGACACCCAACACATTTTTATATCAATAATTTCGATATAAAATATTTTATAATTGGCTTCAACTCACACACTATAACATTTCAGATAAATTTTTACCTCCCACATGCCATTAGGCTAAATCACATTTGTCCATCCTTATACTCCCAACAAGTAAACTAAATCACATTTGTCCATCCTGATATTAGTAGCCAGAAAATGAGCTGATTTGGTGAGTCGATCTACGATTACCCATATAGTGTCATGACCAGAAGATGTTCTAGGCAATCCTGTAATGAAGTCCATAGAAATGCTGTCCCATTTCCACTCTGGAATATCAAGAGACTGTAGCATCCCGGCTGGTTTCTGATGCCCAATTTTGACTTTCTGACAAGTCAAACAACGAGTTACATGTTCAGTTACATCTCTCTTCATCCTTGGCCACCACCAACCATGTCTTAAGTCATGATACATCTTAGTTGCTCCTGGGTGAATGGTATATTTACTCTGATGAGCCTCCTCAAGTAGGATATTTTTCAATCGAGTATCATTAGGCACACACACTCTACCTTTATATCTTACGACATCATCATCGGTTACATCAAAATGTTCAGCCTTTCCAGCCCCAATCTCTACCCTAATCTTATTCAAATAATCATCCTTCTGTTGCGCAATTCTAATTTCTTCCCAAAAATTATTCTCAAATTCAGTAATATGTAGAGCAGCCAAACAATTTTCGACTACTTCTACATTTACTGCATGAAAACTACTCCATAAACATACAGTACCGGTGACCCCCATGGTGATACACTCGGTCTGATAAACCCCTTCTCTAACAACTCTTCAATTTGTCTCTTCAACTCAGCTAACTCCGATGGAGACATCCTATAGGGTGCCTTAGAAATAGGCCCCGTACCAGGTACGAGTTCAATCGAGAACTCAACCTCTCGTTCTGGAGGCAAACCGATCACTTCAGTAGGAAGACATCAGGGAATTCTCTCACTACTGGAATCTGATCTACACCTTCTTCAATCTCTGCCTTGATTGAGAAGAAAATCATAAAAGCTTGACAGCCCTTTCTTATACACTGTTCTACTTGAGCTGCAGACAACAACATAGGACTTTGGGACTCTACAGGGGTTACAGTAAGAGCTGAAAGTGACACACTCTTTTTTTGACAATCAAGTACAGCTTCATTTGCAGACAACCAATCCATCCCCACAATAACATCAATCCCAGACAAAGACAAACAAATGAGGTTTATGGTGGTCTTTCGACCCTCATACTCAACCTCTACATTTAGACATGCCTTAGCAGTCCTTACAGTCAAACCAGCAGGAGTAGAAATCTTCACATCAAAAGGTAAGGTACACACAGGCAATTTACATCTTTTCACACATTCATCAGACACAAAAGAGTGTGTAGCACCCGAATCAAACAAAGCACAAACATCATTATCAAGGATTCGGATTATACCTCTGATAGCATTAGGGTTGTTAGCAGCCTCTGGCCCAGAGAGGGCATACACTCGTGCTGGTACTGTAGGTCTCTGATCATTACCCCTATTTTGATTCTGATAGCAGAATCGAGCAATATGACCAGGCTTCTGACAGATGTAACAAACCCAACAATCACCAGAATGAAACTTCCCACACTTACTGCATGCTTGATTACTAGCAGCACCAGGAGTAGGATTAAAGGTAGCTGAGCTCCTGTAAGACCCTTGACTCCCACTCTAATTCCCTCTGTAGGTTTGGCCCTTATGGTAGTAGCCCTTCTTCTTCTGATTTCTAAAGCCTCCAAAGATTTGACTGCTCCTCTTCTCTACTCCACCAATGGGTCTGGTGTGGATAGGGGGCTTCCCATGAGGTTCTTTCCTCCTCTCTCTATCAGCTTCTAATCTAGCCTCTCTCTTCCTCTGAGAAACTATTCGAAGCTTATTGCACATCTCACTGAAGGTCTTGATCTCAAAAGGGGCTAACTGTTCCCTTAGATCAGGCCTCGCCTTCTCTAGTAATCGTTCAGCCATCCACTCTGTATCTTCATGTTTCTGGAGGTAAGTAGAGTATTTAGATAATTCTGAGAATTGTTCAATAAATTCATCCTCATCTAGATCACCCTGACGAAATGCATGAAACTCAGCCTCCTTTTCTGCTCTCAGTGCAGTAGGAAAATAATTCTCGAACAATATGGCTTTAAAATCTTCCCAAGTAAGAGAGGAATCATCCTTTGGTCTTGATGTTTCCCACCATTTTTTAGCACTCTTCTGTAGTAAGAATATTGCCAGCTGCACCTTTTGATTAGAAGTACACACAACCATACGAAAAATACTCTCCAATTGATCTATCCATTCTTCAACTACTGCCGGCTTAAGATTTCCATCGAAAGTAGGAGGATTAAACTTACGAAAAGTACTCCAGATCTTTGTGATCATGGATGTCTGTTGCTCAGAGTGGAGACTCACATTCTTCGGACTAGTCTCATGGTGAGAATAGGAAGGTGAGCCTTCATCAGCAAATTGGCTTGTAAGAAGTAAATTAGTATGAAAGTGAAAAATTAAAATTATCACTTTTGAGATTTATGGCTAAGAAGTTGACACCAAGGTTTATGGGGCCTTTTGAGATCTTAAAACGAGTTGGACCAGTAGCGTACCAAGTAGCATTACCACCCTAAATTGCTGGAATACACAACGTATTCCATGTGTCACAACTGAAAAAGTATCAACCAGATCCTTCCCATATAATTGAACCCGAGGAAATTGAACTCAGGGAGAATTTAACATTTAAAGCTGAACCAGAAAGGATTGTGGATTATAAGGACAAGCAATTAAGAAACAAGACCATTAGATTGGTTAAAGTAATCTGGAAGAGCACAACTCCAGGTGATGCTATGTGGGAGACCGAGGACAGTATACGACGTGATTATCCTCGTCTTTTTGATTAAGTGAGTAGTTAATAGTTACTAATTTTAAATTTTGAGGACAAAATTTCTAAAAGGAGGGGAGAATTGTAACATCCCAATTTAAATTTTAATAGTTAATTTAGGTTAATAGAAATTTTTTAAAAAAAATAATATTTAGAGGTAAGAAAATTAGTAGAAAATGATTATTAAATCTAATTTAGGATATAATTCTAAATTTAAAAAAAAAATTTATTAAAAAAATTTAATAAAAAAAAATTATTATTAAATTATTATTATAATAAAAAAAAGGGGAAAAGGTATGCCAAAAAAAAAAGAAGAAGAAGAAGAAGAAAACGAATTTGCTTTCGGCGCCGCATGAATAGTAAATATAAAATAATAATAAAAAAAAGGGGGAGAGAGAAGAAGAAATAATAAAAAAAATGTGTGGGACCCACTGAATTTTTATTAAAACTCACCTTCCTTCATTTCCTCATTCATTCCTGCGCGCGAGCTGAAGCGGAGAGAACGCGAGTCACCGGTGCGAAATATCTAAATTTTTAAGGTAAGAGTTTTTAATAGGATATTTAGGATGTGATTTTAAGCTTTTCAAGACTAAGTAAGTGTTCTAAAAATTTTTCTTAGTCATCCTTCTTATTTAGTTTCTGAGTTTGTAGTGGTAGAAAATTTAAGATCTGGAAGAGGGATGAATTTATGTTGAATAAATATGATTTTTGAGGTTGTCAGTAGTATAATAAATGTTCTAGAGTATAAATTTATTGATGATCTTTGAATTTGTGGCTTATGGATCAAATTTTAAACTAGATCTGAAAATATATGTTGATTTATTGAGGTTTAGATGATTATTTGGGATGAGAAATGAATTATTATGGTTATAGGATTATGATTCTAAGCTAGAGACTTAATTTTTAATTTTTGGGTATTTTAGGTACGAATTTATGAAATAAAAAGAAAATTTTGATAATAAAAATTAGTTTAGAAGTTGATTTTTAGATTATTAATGTTTATTGATAATTAAAAGAGGAGTTAAAAATTTTACTTAATAGTATTAACTATAGATTTGTATTAAGATTGAGATTAGGAATTATGTTATATTTTTAATTCTATTATTAGAATTATTTTATTAGTTTCAAAAATTGAAACTAATATTTATAAATAATATGTTATTTGTAGATTGTATTACTGGTGAAGATTGTGGTGAGAGAGAAATTTTAAGGAATAATTTATTGAAAAAGCCACAAGGTAACCATGCTTTTAATTTATGATTAGTGTTACTTCATGTTAATTGGGTGATTATTGAGAAAATTATAAATTTTGTAATATTATATAATTGTGCAATATTATTATAAATTTATTTGATTATTGTGGGAGGTGTTGGGAGACTTGCTATTGTTGTTGTATTTATGTGCCACGTGGTATGCCCCTATTGGAGCTCAATAGGTGGTTTGTAAGGGCTCGGGCTAATCTACCTTTGGCCGGGTAATTTAGCACCGAGTGAGGGCTACGGCTCGAGGTTAATGGAGGGATATAAGGATGGTTGTTTGTATGTATTGTAATATTTCATATATTTGTTGGAATTATATTATTTTTAATTCTCACTTAGTAAGCACACAATTAACTGTTTGTATACACTATCATAAATTGGCTTTAGTTACTGGGACTTTTGAGTCTCATTATGTGGTTAACAATTTTCAGGAGAAGAGCCACGAGTGACATGTGGAGGAGTCCCAGAGGCTTAGTGGTATAGATCCACTGTCTCTTTTGGGTATTTAATTTATGATTTATAATGTGTTATATTGCCAATATTAGGGCTTTTTGTTTATTGTCAATTATATGAATATATAAATGTAATCATGCCTTTCAAACTATTTCTATTTTTAGTACAATTTGGATGACTGTAATTTTAATATTTGGTTTACTTTGGATTGGTTAAAATGGCATGATTATAAGGCCAAATAACTGGTTTGTGTTGAAAATTTATTAAATTGCTTATTTTACTTGTTGGGAGTATAAGGATGGACAAATGTGATTTAGTTTACTTGTTGGGAGTATAAGGATGGACAAATGTGATTTAGCCTAATGGCATGTGGGAGGTAAAAATTTATCTGAAATGTTAATTATAAAATATTTTATATTGAAATTATTGATATAAAAATGTGTTGGGTGGCTGTAACCCAACTATGGTTGAGTTAAATTATTTAAAAAAAAAAATTTTGGTGTGTTACACACAACATTTGTATCAAAGTAGAAGGCTCGTGTCATCAAACTAAATAATTCTTGGCATCATATTGACATATTCTTCTTCTCTTGATTCATTGGTTTACTTGACAAGTTCTTGGGTTATTTTGAAGCATTTCTATCCTACCACGTGAACTTTGTTCTTGGCATTAGCCAAAATCTTCAGTGGATTTTTAATTTCTCATTTTTAGTTTACTTATATGGTTTTTGATACCATTAAACATTATAACATCAAGAATCAGACAAAAAAAAAATCAATTAGTTGATCAAACAATCTGCAAAAAATTTTCACTCGTCCCGTGAATATTTTTGTCTTTAGGCTAGGCTCCCAAGCTGAAATTCGCAAAGGAGGAACACACCTAAGCGTGAAAGCAAAAAAAGGTAATGACGGTCCATTTATACAAGTCTCTTCCATGTCTATTCAATTTTTTTGTTCGATATTTTTTATTGAAAGGAAAATTAAATCTCTCGCGCTAATCTATTAAGGGGGCAGCTCAAAATAAGTCAATCATCTTCTTTTAATAAGGCGAAAGAACTCGAATTGAAAAAAGATACAAGACGAACTTCAAGGGCGCTTGCACAAATTTGAACGGCGCTTGCACCCTCCCACTTTTTATTGAATCGGAAAGATCAAGCAACGAACTTCAAGGGCGGGAAATAAAATGGGTTCCTCCCTTACTATGAGAGCAATCGGAGCACTGCTTTGCAGATTCTCAAATGGCATCTTATCCAGACCCAACAATGCCTTCTTTCTGCATAGTACTCTCTCCGTCTCTTTCTCTCTGAGCTTTATTTTTTAATTAGATGGCGATTCCTGAAACGTATTTAGAGAGACCTTTGTGATTCAGGGGCTAGTTTGCTGAGCAGAGCCTTATCGTCTGCGTCTTCGTTCTCGTCGTTGGATACGATCCAAGAGGTGAATTGTAATAACAACTTTCAAGCGAGAACGATATGGACATTCCCTCCCGTCTGCATGGGTAGACGTTCCAGCAAAATTGCTGGCAGAAAGGTTGCTCTATTCTCTGTCTCTGTGTATGCCTGGCATCAAACGCTTTTTTATAAGGGGGGAAACTCCTCCCAATTCTACTACCTGATGTTGATTGTTTTTTGACACTTCTTCAGCTTACTGTAGATTTTGCCACCGGAAATATATTAAATGCTTTTATAGCTTCCTCTTCATCTGGGCTCATTGTCGGATTAACTGGCCGTACCTGGTCTGTTGTTTTAAGTGTATGCCATGTGTTTGATAAAGATCCTACCACACTATGTATTACTTGAAGCCACAATTTTACTTTTCTCGTAGATTTGTTCACCTAAAAGATAACTCAGAAAAATGACATTGTTGAAGTTTTCATAACGCTTTAGGAAAGGGTGATGCCCTGGTCTTACAATTTTTCGCCTTGGAATTACTGTAACGTGACTTTTTAGAAAAATATGTGATTTTTCTTCTGTAGGTCTTGGTTAACTGAGTTTATGTTCATCATAAAAGGAAAAGAAAAAAGTTGTTTTGGGTAACTTTGGACCGATATGAAAGGGATAAACTTTGTAATGGAAGAACAAGGTATTGTAATTATTACGGGAAATGTAATAATGGCTACTTTATGGTTTTCTCGCGTTTTTTTGTTAGATTGCCGTTGGTTCTTAGTGCACACTTTCCTGCAATTTTGATCCGCGAATCTGCAAAGATATTTGAAATCTTCCACTAGCAAAATATCATATTTGCCTTATATGCAGGAGGCTCAAGATGCTAAGAAAGCAAAGCTATACTCACGGATTGGAAAGGAAGTTGTGTCTGCGTAAGTCATTCTTCAACTCACTTTAGTTAGTAGGCTAAGATGGGGGACTTTTTAAAGTAAGTTGTTATGGCCACAAAAATATTCTGAGCCAGAGAGTTATTTATCAAACCATTCTTCATTCCATAGCCAGGTCTGAATAATGTACATAAAGATGTAAAATAACTTATCTGGTCATCTTTTTATCTTCTTTCGGTTTTGCTTAACTGTGTACAGGATTGATGCTGCCAGTAGATCAACATTTATAATGTGATATATAATGGTTCCAACTGGAGGGTTTTGTAGTGTTCTGTTTTACTTTATTAATTTGGGAACCACTTCGCATGAGTTTCATCATAATGAATGACAGGGTGAAGAAAGGTGGTCCAAATCCGACATCAAATTCGGTTTTGGCTGCTGTACTTGAGAAAGCCAAGGAACTTGATGTGCCAAAAGATATTGTTGAGCGCAACATAAAAAAAGCTACCGAGAAGGGACAAGAAGCATACATTGAAAAAATATACGAGGTGATTGAATTTATTCATGATTTGATATTGAAACTGTTGGGAGTTTGCATTTAATGATTTTATACTTGGAATATTGCTTAACTTCATGGCTAGCTTCTTTTATGCTTCAGGTATATGGTTATGGTGGAGTTAGTATGGTGGTTGAAGTCTCTACTGACAAAATAAATCGTTCAGTGGCAAAGATTAGAGAAGTGGTGAAGGATTATGGAGGGAAGATGGCAGATTCTGGATCTGTAATGTTCAAATTTAGGCGTGTTCGGGTGGTAAATATAAAAGTCACTGATGCTGACAAAGATCAGCTCCTCGCGATTGCTCTAGATGCTGGGGCTGAGGATGTAATTGAACCTCCAACTTACGAAGATGATACTGAGGAGGATAGGTTGGAAAGGTAATCCTTTTTAATGATTCTGGGTAATAATTTCCTGGACCTTAATGGAAATATAGATAAGATGCCGCTCTTGTCTCTTCTGGTTCTCTGCTCTGTCTATAAGGTAATAGGCCAAGCGCATGGACTTGGAGGTAGATGAGGCCATACATTTAACTCCTTAAATTTTTGACCCAAGTATATTTAATGTTTACCTCTACAGTTCTGGAGATTGCACCTATCATCTTAGAAATTTTTTTCTTCCATTCAATGAAGAAAAAGCTGTTCAGTCTCATTAAATGAATAATAATAAATTTTAAGATGGATGGAGATGGAGGCAGCTCGGCTGCCTTGAAACTTCATATTATGGCACGAATTTGTTGATTGACTGAGGAAAAGCTGAAAAAGTCAATTTACTGTGGCTGATCTGAAGATCTTTAAGACATGATACATATTGACCGTTGACAAAGTAGATTGTAGGCTTTGTTTTTTTATTGCTCTTCTTACTCAGTGGTTAGGATATAATGGCTAAAATTTAAATTCGGCCACTGCTGTTCTTTTGGTATGCAACTTGAGATCGGTGAGATTTGGATCTCCAATAATGCCCTATACAGTGTTTGTTTCTCATGACAGGTATTATAAAATTGTCGGCACATCAGAGAACTATTCAGCTATACTATCAAAACTGCGAGAGGAAGGCCTAAATTTTGAGCCTGATAGTGGTTCTGAGCTTCTTCCGATTACCACCATTGAGGTTTGTTTCAATGCATATGCTATCTGTTTCGTTTGGGTTAAGTTTTGTTTTTATCCTTCGCCCTTTGATCTATTTCTCATTGCATCGTTTTTTAGGAAGCTTTCTTGGAGAATACAAAATAGACTTGCTATAAGTTACTTTCCAGATTTTGTAATTGCTTTATTGTGTCTGGTCAGGCTGATTTCTATAATAAAGATTATTAACTACAAATTTAACACGATTTTATGTTGTGACTAGTACCACAAATTATTGAAATTATAAGGAACCGTTCAGAAATCCAGGGGAAAAGGCTATCGATAAATGCCGGACTAATCCATATGGGACCATATCCTGTTAAGTGGCTGCCAAGAGCTCAGACTGCCCACCCTTTTCTGGGTACATGTAAACTGGCTAACTAATAAACATTTAAAAAAAGAGAGAGAGAGAGAGATTTTTTCGGGCCTCCTTGCTGGTGTTCATGGCGGTCCTTAATGCATGTGCATATTTGAAGACTTGGGTCATCACTTGACTTCATGGATATCCATCTGTGACATGTTCACAGATAACTGCATTAATATATATGATTTTGACTCCATGATATCAATCTCTAGTTATATGGAGCTTGTCCACCTTATAGGATATCTTCATTCTCCTTTCGTCGTTTTAATGAACGTTTTTATACTGGAAGAATAGCTACGAGCATAATTCTATACTTTCCTCACTCTTGTTTCTAAAAATGTTTGGGGAATTGGCGTTTCTTGATTATGGCATACATATGCAGCCTCAAACCTACTTCATGTAAGAAGCGAGGAACTGAGACTGTTCATCTTATCAACCACATAAGGATTTTTCCCCCATTTGAACCATTATTGTATGGTCTTCCGTGCCTCTTCTTTTACTTTGGAAGTAAAATCTATCTCTTTATTTTTGTTTTCCTATTCCTTCTTTCCTAATAGAAATGAAGAAAGAAAGAAACTGACTTCAGTCAATTATTGTTGGTTTTCAGGTAGATGATGAGGCTATGGAGTTGAACAAGGAACTTATGAGCAAGTTACTAGAGCTTGATGATGTTGATGCTGTTTATATAGACCAGAAATAATCATCTCTTAGCTTTAAAGCTGCTCAACTCAGTCAAGTTTTGACATTGGGATAACATACATGTTTCATTAGCAAACCATTAGGTACTCTTGAGTTCTTGCCTTTTGCGGATCTCACATGTACGCTCCTTGATTTGACTTATGTTTTGTTGGCTTCCACATTTTTTTGGCGGTTATTTTGATGTGGGGTGAGGTGGCCATAGGTTATTCTTTCCTAGGACCTCGTAACAGTTAAAACTCTGACTGAGCAGTTCTTATAACTATTGTTGTCTTGAATGACAAAATGTTTATTATTTGATGATGATGATAAAATGTCTATTCTTGCTTTTCATTAGATTCCAGCAATATTTTTCTTTGCGACCTATTCCCTTGGATTTCAGTCCACCGTTTGATTTGTTTGAAGATGCTTGAGAAATATGTCGTGGCATTGTCAACCAAATACACTGATTTTAGAAAACATTAATTAATTAATATTTCTATTTGTCAGTAGTAAACCGAAAAACACACATATTTTCAGCCATTGTGGGGATCATGTTTGGTAAGGTTTCTGAACTCTTACTTGGAGTCCAAACATCCCATAGAGCATTTAAGCCTAGTTGAGCATGCAGCGACATGAGTGTAGGACGACCTTTGAAGTGGAGTTCATATTTCTGATTAGATTCTGTTAGGTAAAGATATATAATTTGGTTCTACTGGGAAAGGTAGATATAACAGGGTACGTTGCATGAAATTGCTGCCTAACCACACTGGTTATCATACATGGCATATGGGTGACTATATTTGAGCATATGCCGATCATAGTTGCAGGATATACAAACACAAGCTAAGATGGAGCGATCTCAGCAATCAGCAAGTATACCAGACCATTCATAGTTTTATGATCTTATGGGAAGTTGAAGGCTTCAGTGTTTAGGATTTAGGAACCCAGCATCCATGCAATCCGTAAGGCAGTCCGTAAGGGAACTTGGCTCTGGCAATCTCTTCAAAGGTGGATCCATCTAACAACAACGCATATCCGTCTCCATTTCTCTCACTTATTATGGAGATAACCACGCCTGCCACACACACACACATCATTTATGTTAGAGGCGACAAGACATAAAAATAGCAACAAGGGAGGGTGTAGAGAAAGGGCGAGGATGTTACCATCATCTTCTTCTGTTGCTCCAGGTCGAGCCACGAAGAAGGGTTCTGAGGGAACAGAACCTTCATCGTGCCAACTCTTCGCCTTCTTCTCCACTAAATCAATCTGTATTGTTTACAACATACTCCATTATTATAACAAAGCCTGCTCTTTAAATATGTTGGAAAAAGTGCTAATATTTATATATAATAAGAACTGGTTTTGATGAACGGGGCATGATAAGTTAATAAATCAAAAGGTACATCTCAAGCAAACCTTGGTGAGGGTGTTGGGGAAGTTACAAGGGCGCTTGGCTCCACATGCGTAGGCATATCTATATTTCTTGCCCAAATAGTTAGGGTTGATGCTGCACATGTCCATGCCTCTCCCATGTTCGTCTGCCTCTAGCGCTTCCTCTAACGTCCCATATTCACTCCCATTCAGAGGTATCCTGAATCTTCCTATCCTGTCATTTTAAATCCCTAGCCTTTTCAAGTTCACTCTCAAAATTAAGCCCATATGTATTTATTAACTAAAATATGTTTTTACTTATCTATATATATATATATATATATGTAGACATATATATAGACACGCACACACCTAGCGTCCGGCAGTACATCCTCGCCGTTGAAGGAGCGGAGGTTCTGTAGCCTGAGACGATCAAGAATGGCGGTCTCAGCGTTGTGCTCACAACAGTCCGCGATAATGGCCGTCACTCTTCCCTCTTCATCTTCCTCTTCATATGCATTTATGAAATGGAACGTCACGTACAGTGGCACCTCTACGCTTGCCACCTTCCACATCATCGTCAACAAACAACAATACTGTGAGAACCATGACGCTTAGGGTTCGATGCATCAAAAAAACTAACAAGGACTAATGCTTCTCCATGGAAGTAAAGAGACAAAAATAGAGTGGGAATATCATCAGCTTACAATCTTTCCACTAGTCCTGCACATAACATGGATAAAACCTTTGGATTCAGGGTGCCACTCGAACTTGTACAATGGCGTGGGTTCAGCTCTCAGCAAATTTTGGGCACAGTATCTCAGTGGCATTTCAGGCACGATGATGTAGTGTTCAGTCACCGGAAACGAGTGGACCCAGCCCGGTGCAGGCCCGCCCCGACAGTTAACCCGTCCTATCACCTTCCTTCCGTTCGACCCGGCTTCCATCCTCACCGCTAAATACCCAGGATTTATCAAGTCTGGTATTAACGTCAAGAATTCTGCGTCGTTCACGATAGGGTGTGCTGAGTGTATCAAACCCCCTAACGTGTCACTGTACTCAAATTTCCCCACCGTCTCCAATGTGTTCGGGTCTATCACAATCGACCCTTTCTGGGTCTCTGTCAGACAGACCACGCGTCCGTCTCCGAGTTTCACGACTCCGGTGTTTGCGTTGTCCGTGAGCGAAGCGCCTGAGAACAGATTGGCGAGCTCGCTCACGTAGGCTAAGAAATTATCAGGCTTCGGAGCTTCGGAGAATTCGCGGTAACAAAGCTTTTGGTTCTTTTTGGCCGCTCGATAGGCCTCGGATTCCACTTGGCGGTGGCCGGCGATCAACCGGCCATTCTCGAACTGAAGCTTGACGAGAGTGGCGTAGCCATCAAAAAGGTGCCTGAAGTTGTAGTCTCCGATGTGCCACAGCCCCGGACCATTCCTCAGGTACGTTCCTTTCTGCATGTTGTATTAGTACGTTTATAACTAATCCCTTTGAATAGAAAAACCCAAAGAATAGATTTATTTCTGCATCGTAGATATTAATACAATGATTATGGATATAAATTTATTTTGATGTTTAAAATAAAAACAATCCCTTTCGCTTCCATCATTTTTGAAGATCTTCCTCTTGCATGTCACGTTAATTAAATACGTGACTTGTGAAAGGAACGTTTTAATTTCCTGTGTTAATTTAAAACAATAAAGTATTGTATTTAAAGGTCCTGTATTATTTTGAGAATTAATGAATTATGGAGAATACTCTGGAATCTGGATCATGGAATTTTAAAATAAACCCACCTGAAGACATACAATTGCAGTACAGTTCATCAGAAAAAAAAGAATAAGGAATGTATAAAAATATAGATAAACAGCCTGCTTGATCTTGTAAAACTAGACTAATATAATTATTTAGGAGTAAACTTTGTCGGCTTCCCAGATGACACATAGAATGATGACAGGTCAATTGGTTAATCGATGCGATTCCCATAACTTTAACTTTTCCCTCCCCTACCCTCTCTGTCGAACAAACCGTAGGAGAAAACAAGGTTTCTTGGTATGACAAGAAGATTCTTTTCATTGCGTTCTTGTAACTAAGTTCAGGTTAAGTAAAATTTGAAATTGATAACTACATAAACACTTTAAAGTTTTAATGAGCATTCAGAAATCCTTCTGCGCACAGGCATACATATAGGTTAATTAGTTTTATTATATATATATATATATATATATGACAAGGCAAATTAAGGAATAATTAAAACAGGCGCGCAAGCGCATATAGCATATATATATAGGGGCAGGCAAATATAATTACCAGCCATAATGGTAGTTGTCCTTGAACATGGAGTTCTCCTTCCCATCTCTCCTGGGGGATGCTACTCCATGCGGGGTGCTGGCGGCCGCCGGCAGTCTCCGATCTCTCAGGCGGCGTTAGTGGTGGCGGAGCAACCGGAGGCGATGGACTGGCAACATTAGTAACAGTCAGGTCATGTAGAAAACTGAGTTGGGTTTTGAAGAAGCCCTTGTTATTGGGAAATGGAAACCCAGCCTTATTGCTGTTATCAGAAACCGCCATTGTTGGCCATGAAATGGAGTTTCGGACGGGAGCGAAGCTTTTGAAAGCCATGAAATTCCCAAGGAAGATGAAGATAGAGGATGAGTGAGAGAATTGTGTAGTGTTGTGCTGAGTAGGGATGGGGGAGTATGAATGAGGTATTTATAACAGACGAAGAGAGGATCTCTGGGGTGGATGCCTGATATCGATCTGAGAACGTAAAACAAACTATGCCCTGTGTTGGAGGAATCTTTAATTAGGGGATATCGTTCCACTACCAGACACATACAACCTTTTTAATTTCCCCCCCCTGCCATCCTAGAACTATAGAAGGAATATAAAATTACTTTAGTTATTATAATTTTGTATCAGTTAATTCTCATTCTTAATATACAAAGCAACTTTTTTCTCCCAAGTTTCCTATTGAAAATAATCCTGTTTGAAATATTGTTAGGTATTGAGTATAGGCATTATATTTCTCCTCATGAGAATTCAAAATTTAATTATTTACCAATTTTTTTTACTAAATCAAACTCTCATTGATAATTAACTTAATTTCTTATTTTAGTCCAAGCCCATAGGTAGCTAGGAAATGGATTGGCCCAACTCTTATGAGCTGAGCCCTAATTAAACCCTAATGACTAAGTCTATTAAAAAATGAGTTTGACAAGGATATTATATAGCGTTATTATATTAAAAGAGCAAGATGGTGAAGAAGATAAAAGCTTTGATGCAGCATGATTTTAAAAGTGGTGAGTTTTCATAAAATCTAAATGCATTATCACCTTCTTTGGCCAAAAAAAAAAGTGCATCATCATCACCTTCCGCCTAATTAATTCAAATTCTTATTTTGTGAGACTGTTGTTATCAACAGTGATACTTCTACCACTTCTTTTGAATATGCATGACTCCGTTACAAAGTCCAGTAAACCAACTGGGAAGAGAAGGAGTTTATTGTTCAAAGATGCATAAAAGTATATGTAATCTAATCTAATCTAATTAAGTGCTAATGCGCGCCCGTGTGTGAGAGAGAGGGAGGGAGGGAGAAATGAGCCGTGGATTATATGGTCCCTTGCAATAATGTGGAATAAGCAAGTCATTTGGTTTTGTCGCTCCAGTAACTAAGAACCCGTTTGATTCAATTACAAGCCCCCTCTTTAATGCGATGTAATAGAATGCAAGAGGACTCATCTCTCTCTCTCTCTCTCTCTCTCTATATATATATATATATATATAAATGTAACTATATCGCACTGACATTAGTTTTAATTTTTTTAAAGAAAGGAATGTATTTATTTTTTAATATTTAGGTCATGCAATCATCCGTATAAAAATTATTTAAAAAAAGTTGCAAGAATCCCTGTAGAATATGTACACAAATAATTAAAAATAAAATAATTACCCAAATTAAAACAAGTACATTATTTATAACTTATAAATAATTTCTTTTGGGTTTTATATTTTATTTATATTGAACGGTGGAATTGATCTAACCGTGTTAAATTAAATTTGCATAGCACAGGGCAAAAATGTACTAATTAATACCAGGATCGATGATTATGTGGGATTAGGGAAAAAAAATAATAACTTGAAATTCATGTACAGTACAGATGAAATAAATTAATCTCTTGAACCCCGCCGCTAATGAATCGATTATTATTTTGGCCAGTAGCTAATGAATCGATTAATAATCACTACAATTTGCATTTATTATTCAATAAATGCAAATTGTTTTCAGGTAAAAAATAATAAAGATAAATGCAACTTGTAAAATAATGGGGTACGAATTGCTGAATATATAGAGCAGTTCAATACGAAGCTAATTACCTTTCTCTCATGGATTGTATAAACATTATACTATATATAATCATCATGACATTTCATTTCTAAACATTATTCACACATCACATTATTCTTACGATTTGATTACTTTTTTCCCCGGCCAAATACCGCTTGATTAATTGAATTTATATAATCAGCGAATTAATGTCATTTCTGGAGAAATCAGCATATATAATGCACATCAATGCCCCGTTTGACCTTCAATTCAACATAATCGTACCAATAACCCACAAAATTTGTCTCCATTTGTTGATTTAGAAACCCAGTCTTTCGAAATCAAATATGTCATTATGTTTGCTTCCAGCGTTTGAAGAAAATTTGACGTCACGAAGCCTCACCTTACTTCCTTCCAAAATTATATTTCCTTAGCCTTGTCGGCTAATAGTTCCAGTCTGAATTCCTCAAAATAACCTCTCTATTTTTTTAAAAAAAATACAAATCACTCTTAGCTTATTGTTGGAATATCAGTTGTTAATCATAGTTAGTAGTTAGCCTAAGCCTATATCAAGAGATAGAGATTAAGCATTTAAATAAGGGAGTTGTGTCCCACCCTAAGACAGAGGTTAACAAAGATCTTTACTTCATTGTTTCACCTCAAAAGTTAGGTTTTGTAAATCACCACTGGTTGGGTGGATTAATGTAAGGTTTTTATCATTTTTGTTGTTAATATTATCTTCTTCATAATTCTTGACACTTATCAAGTTTGAACTCAGTATATGTATATATAACTGAACGATTAAATTAAAAGGAGAATCAAGAAAAGTTTAAAATGGGCAAGATTGAAAGAAAGAAAGATTAGACGTGAGGTGAAAACAATAGAATATATTGGCGTCGAAAGTGGAGGGAAAAAACAAAAGAGGTGATGACCTTGGTTGGAGCATTTGAATTATATCAGAGCAAATAATGATGTTTTCCACGAACCCCGTAAAAATATCCATTTTTATAGGTCCAGACCACTTTTAATGATTTCTGCTTATATTTTCTTAAAGAATTATATTGGGTTTCCTTGTTCCTAAGTTCATACCCCTTTCGGAAAGTGGGAAACTGCAGTGCTGCCACTTGCCTCTTCTTAAGAAGAAAATGAACTCCTCCAACTCTGCAGGTTCCTCATGCTTCCATTCTATATTCTTCCTCCTCCTCCTCCTCCTCGTCTTCAAAAAAGATTTCCATGCCATCCCTTTTCTCCTATATATGTTTCTGTAATAATATTAGTAACAATTGATGACATGCAGCATTTAATCAATAATTAAAAAATTACTCGTCGTTTTGCACGGAGAGAAAATGAAGGCCTCAGTAATTGCTCGGGTCTCTTCATGCCCTCCTTGATTCCTACAACTGTCCATCACAGAATGTACCATTTCGATTCAAAGTGGCAGACATAATTAGGGTTTTCCCACGAAGGGGAACAGTTAATTAATTCTGTAATTACGCCTTTCTTGATTTTAAAGGGAGTATTTTATTAATATTATTAATATTAATAAACTAGTTAACGAATTAGTGGAGGTCATCCAAAAGACCAAAACCAATAATAAACAGACGGGCGGTGCTGGGATGCGAGGTGACGTAGCACAATCTCGAGACGTTTAATTAGTTGTTAAGGTAAATGGGATTTACTTTGTTCATTAATCAAAGCGTGCATTATCATCATAATACCAGGATTTTCTAGCAACAGCCTCCTATATTATTATTCTGCTCCAAGGCAAGGGTCAGTAAAGTTACTGATTCCCCTGGTAGATCCAAACTCGAAACAAATGGAAGTGGAGAGAGATATGGAAATTCTTAAACAAAACAAAAGTGCTTCTTATTGTATGCGGCCTTAATTATTAAATAATGAATGGCTTTGAATTGTCGGGAATTATTTACGTCCCAGTGCCTCTCTCGCACCTAATACACCATATGCCACCCCCCAACAGTCTCTCGCTCTTTCCAAAATGCTTTCGAGTATTTTTCCTGTTGACATCTTGTGGGATTCGAATTCCATGATGACAAATTCTACATTATTTTTTTATTGAATTATCATTTGGAGCTCGCGTCATTCCTGAGCTACTGTCTATAAGTACCTAAATGATTAATTTAGTGTATTATGTGCCAATTACGTGTCGCAGTCGGAAAGTACTTAGAAATGGATATTAACGCAACTCTTTACTCCATCAACTCTTCCTTACATGATGCTGCTTCAAGTTTCAAAGTGATAGTATAGTGAATTTTGTTGTGTGTGTGTCAAACGAAGAACTCTCATAATATATAAATACTAAAGAATGAAATGGATTAGTAAAAAGGACTTGAAGGAGAAGTAGACTAGCGTGTATGAAACAAGCCAATTCAGGATAATGGCAATTGAAATCAGTTAATTTATCCTCTACACATGCGCGAGTTCAAGAGATATTAGATTCTTTTTACCAAATTAATTTTACAAAAATAAATAATTTTTTATTTACATGAGCTTAAAATCAAATCATGAAAGTTTTTTGGCCATTGACCAAAATTTGAAATGGATGATTAATTTTCTAAACGCATTCCTTTCAACATTTTCAAATAAAAGCTTAAATATATTTTACGTTTATATAATCTCAGAAAGATGCTTAAACATGCTTTATGTTTGTATAATTGAGGTATTATGCTGCTTTATGAATGTGTAACTAAGCCTTTACTTCAATAGTCGAATGCCCAGTGTTCGATCGTCTGAGTTTTTTTGTTAGTGCTATTGTTTTGTGTCCTCGTATTAAGCAGAAAATGCTTGTTTAATTCTGAGAACTACTAATTATCGCTCCGGTGTGTCGAAATAGTTTTTAAAGATAGTATTTTTTGGACACAACTCAAATAGCTCATTGTTTACGTCCATGCAGCCAACAAATTTAACCCCTCCGTCATTTTTCTTTTTATCAAATTTCTTGATTTATCCCTGCGTTAAGTTGCGCGCGGGTTTAATAACAAATCCAAGTTGGCTTAAATTTTAATTTCTCTGTCCATTGTTTCCTTCAAATATCTTCATTATTAACTCCTGAAATGTTGGTTCTGAATTATTTTACACATGTTATCAGAAGAGTGTTGCGTGACATAGTAAGATACTGACAAATTACGTGCTGCAGTTGATAAGCACGTCCACGTGTTAATCGATGGACTCATCACTACGAAAAGTATGTATGGAAGAATATTCGGAGAGGCAGGAATGTCAAATACGAGTTTGGAGGTTAAACAATGGATACGATGGCGAACGAGAGTGGCTGGACGGAAACTATTCGTCATATATTCGTGGAAGTCAGAACGCGTTCTCTATGTGACAAGATTGAAATACTAAACAATG